GGATCTTTGGTACAGAAACCTATTTCTGAAATTGCCCTTTTCTGCAAACCAGTAGCCAATTATGCAAATGTCATTTTAACGAACCAAACTCATAGATTTCAGAATGTCAGTGGAGAAGTTGGAGAAATGGAACTCCAAGTCAATTTAAGAAACACCAAGACCTTCACTATCGAACTAAGAGCTAACGATGTCGAAAAAACTATTCTTTCTTACAACACCGAGAGCAGTGAGTTAACTTTGGATAGGACTAACAGTGGCATAACCATTACTGGAAATGAAAATCCTCAAGTTTTCGCTCGCAAGGTTCAGGCTTCCTTAAACGACAATCGTTTGAAGCTTCAGGTATTCCTGGACCGATCTTCTGTGGAAGTGTTTGTAAATGATGGGAGAGAATCTCTAACTGCTACTGTATATCCAACCGAGGTGCCTTCAGATTCAATTCGGTTCACAGCGGAAGGAACAGCTGTAATAGAAAGCTTAACATTTTCCAACATAAATTTGTATTTGTAATTTCTGTTATTGTTTAATTTGGATACTTATAGAAAGAGATGAAATAAAAAAATTATGTTTCTTGATGTTCATATTTTTTTTTACCTCAAGCGCCGAAATTAATGATAAAATAATACCTACTTTTGATAGTCGGTAACGGCTACAAAACATTTATTATGCAAAAAATAATGAACTTATTATGTCGTTCCTATTCTTATGGAATTTAGAAATACGTAGTAACCAATTTCATTATAATTGTAAACGTATTTTTTTAACTAAACTTACATATAATAATACATACAGAAAACATTTTATAAAACCTACAATTTTTTCAAATATTAAAAATAATTACAAATTTTTACAATTTTACTGATTTTAAACGAAATTATTTTAAATCTATATATTTTGCGTTATGGATGACATAAGTATTTCTTCCTAAAATGAATACTAAAAATGTTTTCATATTTATTAAATCTACTGTGTAGCATCATTTTTTTTAATTTCAAATTTGCAGCCTGAATTTTTTTTATTTTTTAGCCTTAGTTGCAAAATGAAATATACGCGAGCGTGATATAGTTATATATTCGGCCTATTGCTAAACAAATTTGGTTGATAGCGGCAAAAAAAAATACTGTCATAACCGGCAACCCGAGTACTTTCTCAGATAAAAATATTTTATTTGTGGAAGTATGTTAAGTGCATAAGAAATATTGTCAAAAGTCAGTGGGTCGCTTGATTTTCGGCGAGCCGTGGCGCGGTGGAAGGGTGGGAGTCCGAAGAAAATGACGATAATATTCATAGTCCTGCCGTTAAATAAGCGAAATTCGCTTGAAAATAATATATTTGACAGTCTGTAACTCTGTTGTTTTTCAACGAATCTTGACGATTGTTTTTTTAACTTAAAGCTCTTTTCACAAGCTTTCCGAATATGTAATAAAATATAACTATATCACGCGTGTGCGTCGTATATTTCATTTTGCAACTAAGGCTAAAAAATAAAAAAAATTGCCAGGTTGCAAATTTCAAATTAAAAAAAATGATAGACTTCAATGTATTATTATGAAATCTGCCATGAAAAAAATCAGTGCGATTGTGGAAGATCCTCGGGATCGTCCAGACTAATAATTAGTTAATTTGTTTATAAGGTCATAACTTGTAAACTATTCAACTTACCGATTCCAGATTTCGTGTGAGTTATTAGACAGTGATAAGGAATGAGAGGATGCGATGCCAAAACGTTCTGGTAATAATAACGCAGTTTATAAATGTTTAATTCAAAAGTCATAAATAAAATCCTTCTGTTTATAACTTTTGATGTAATCAATATTTTTTGACGCTCGAGGGCTAGTTTTGTAGGTCTTTTGAAGACGAAAAAAAAAGTACTTTACTGTTTTCTCGTGGAAATGAACGGAAAAAGGTTATAAGCGAAAAACGTGAATTTACGTAAAAATTATACAATTAACCAGCCTGTAAATAACCTTTCCCCCATTTTTATGACTATGGAAACTAATGTAAGCGATATCAGTTGGGGACACCCGGTATAGAGACCAATGGAGCTGCGTTGATGGATTGAATGGTGAGGCATCAGTTTATTTAGGATTAAATAGTTTACATTTACGATGTAGAAGTCCGGCATTCATATAGTTCGCTCTCGAGTCTCAAATGCTCTACGTGACTGTGCATTATTATTTTCTCACAATATACTGTTTTACATTTCACCTTCACCTTAGGTAGTTTTTGTTTTCTTCTTTGAAAGAGTTTACATTAATATGTTATTGTACATAATATTTAGCATCTATAGTGATAAATTCAGCTTGCCGAAACAAAAAGTCGCGAAATGGCCATTTCCCAGCTTATTTTCCTGGCCTATTGTATCTACTATCTAGTACCTGGGTAGCGTGATCTCGATTCCCCACCATCGCGACTCGCTAGTGCTGACGCGGCTCCCGCGTCTACAGCGTCTGTCGGGTCCAAGTTATATAATATGTTTATAAATACTACGATTAACAAAATAAATATTTCACTAAGTAAAAATTAAACTAAGACTAAATTTTAAAGCAAATATTTATTGGATAATTAAAAAATAAAAGAGTAAATAATATAATCAATGACTGGGATGTGCTTGAATATTTTTACATAATATGCTGATATCAGGTTTATTGTCGTTAGTTGCAACCGCATTTCAAATTTTGCATTAAGCGCATTGTGATACTTTGTTTTTGTCGCTACGTACGTCTTGTCAAGTTCGTTTAGTAACTTATATGCGTGTAATTATAAAAATAAAAAGGTTAAGTAAGAGTATAATTTTTTTAATAAAAATTGATGTTATTAAAATCTATACAATTTACAGCAAGCACTGTGTTTTCGGAGAACAACGTGCATGTAAAAAGTTTCATCAAAATTTAGAAAGCATTAAGATGGATCAGAACGCTTTAAAATACAGAAAATATGTTAAAATAGTTTCAAAATATACAGATTTTTCAAATTCACTGTAAATAACGTAAAAATATATTAAAATATCATGAAAATGCATAAAAAATATAAAATACATAAAAATTGGTTTAAAAGCTCTTCGAGCACTAACAAGTTTTAAATATCTCAAAAACCTCTAAATACGTCGAAATATCCAGAACCATCGAAAAGGTTATTACATCAAAATACCTTAAATTGCTTCGAAAATAATACGTACAAATGCTACGAAAACCTAAATACATCGTAATATCTCGAAAACTTCAAGAACTTTGAAATGCTTAGAAAAAAACATCAAAAACCTTCGAAACAGCTATCACATCAAAGTGCTCCAAAATCTTCGAAAACCATATAGAAATATGTACTTCGAAGTCTTCAAAAACTCCGCAATTAAAAATTATTAAAATTTTTTATTATTAAAATCACAAATATTTTTGAAAAACCTAACATCGAAATACCACAAAATTCTTAGAAAACCTGTAAAAATTGAAATATTTCGAAATGCTTCGAATCACATCGAAATACCTCAAAATCCTTCGAAAAATCTATCACATCGAAGTACCTTGAAATTTCTCGAAAATGTTTAAATACTTCGAAAACGTAATTCCGTCGAAATACATTGAAATCTTAAAAAAAATTCGAAACACATCGAAAGTGTTAAAAACCTTCCAGAAATATGTCATATAATTTCTTAGAAATGTTTTAAATACATTGGAAACTTCAAAAACCTAAATACGTCGAAATCTTTAAAAACTTAGAATCACATTGAAATATCCCAAAAACCTTCGAAAAACCTATCACATCAAAATCCCTTGAAATCGTTCTAAACTCTTTAAAATCTCTAAATATACCGAAATGCTTCGAAAACCTTAAAAACTTCGAAATGTTTAAAATTATATAGAAATTTCTCATATGTCCAAGTATTTATTCAAAAACTTTGAAATATTTACTTAGAATCATTTGGACATATCTCAAAAACCTTAGAAAACCCGAGTGCCTCGACATAACTCGAAATCTTCAAAAACTTACCTTACCTTACCAGATACCTTAAAAACCTTCGAAAAAGTTATCACATAAAATGCCTGAAAATCAATTGGAAACCTAGAAATATTTCGAAAACCTCAAAAACTTTGGAAGGCTTAGAAATACAACGAAATACCTCAAAAACTTTCGAAAGTCCTATTTCATCAAAATACCTCGAAATCCTATGAAAGGCGTTGACAAAACGTTAGAGTACTTCAAAGTACCTGAAAATACTTCGAAACACATCGAAATACTTTCGAAAGTTTCGAAAAACTGGTGTTTGAGCCTCAAACGCAGTGCGTCGTCATTCCCCCTCTTTAATATAATTTTGAGAAAGTAATGAAACATTACAGTGTTATTATTAATTCACATATAATTACACCCAAGAAAATAGTCCAATTCAAATAGTTTATAATTCTTGTAGTATATATTGTTTTAATCAAGTTTACTTCCAAACGGTACGACTCATCGAAATGATACTTTGCATATTCTCCGTACAAAAAGTTAGAGCAAAATTTTGCCACAACATCCCAGTCTGAGACGCCCCTGACTAAGAATTAGAAATTATTTTTGAATCACTAGATTCACAACATTCACTTTTAAATTTTATTTTGTTCACATGAACGGTTTATGTATGTTGGAAAGCATCTTTTAGGGACGCTGGAAAAATATTGAAGGCTGATTCCAGGAAAAGTGTGTAGGTCTCTCCTTGAACATTTTCCTTTGCACAATTTTTTAAATGATAAAGAACTCATACATTTTCACACCTAAAAACTTTCTAATGACAATAAATTACCAAAATCATGGCGGAAGTTGGTAGTTATATAAAATGAATTTCTGATGATATTTTGAAGCATTATTGTACTGCGCCGAATAGAGAAACGGTTAAGTATTTTTATATTTCTAATGTACGCTCATTACAGCAAATATCTACGTGTCTAGCTGGAAAAATTCCGCTAGGTACTTACAAACCAGTGTTTATCTACAATATATGTGAATTTGTTCGATTTAAACGGTATTTCAAGCGCAAGTAAATATGTCAATATTATCTACCTAAAAATCAGTCAATGCAGTAAATTCTGTAACAGCAGTTGTATCTGTTTCTGTAGAGAATAAACGTCGGCACAGGTAAGTTTAATTTTAAATACTGGAGATTTAAAAATACAGTACTAATCCGCGATATTAACTAATAACAATGCTTTTTATTATTGTTATTACAATTTTAACATAAAATTTGTTTTAAAATGATATGGAGTAATTAATAAACAATTGTTTGTAAGTAGGCTGTAGGCCATTAACTTTCTTAATATTAGGTGTAGCATTTATATAACTTAATAATAAATTGCAAGCCATTAATTTAATCTTCTCGAGTAAGTAAGTTTATTTAAAATCTGTATTGTGTTGTACAATAAACGAGTTTGGCATTTCTTATTTTTTTATTGTCGTTAGGTTTTTAAATTAAATTTCACTAGTGTGCACCTTTGATACTTGTAGATAATTTAACGATAGAGATAAAAGGACTACTTCTGAGGGGTAGAGAAAATGATCCCAAACATTTCGCTTGGTTTCTATCTCAATGATGATAATTTTCCGGTATGGTTGCCACGTCATCAATTAAGACCCCTTGACGTTTCAAGAAACCGCTTTCCAAAAGAAATCCCAAAACTGAGTGTCTGTTCAGTTACAGTTCCTTTTAAAATAAAAATTGTATAATATCCCTGAACACCTGAAATTATCAGGAAGTATCATAGATTCAGAAATATCAGGGAATTTCTCAGAGGTTTTCGGTCCTATCTGAAATTGATCCTATATATGGAATATGTTTTTTCTAACCTAAAACTGTTGTTTTAGGTTTTTAATATTGTTATATTAAATTTTAGTGTACAAATTAAATAGAATATATTTGCTTACAGTAATAAAAAAAACTTAACTTTTACCTGTTCCCCTTCCACCCTTTTCCCCCTTCTACGTAACCCCTGACAGATACTGAAGAATATCAGAGATTTCACAAAAACATTTATCTGTCTGTCTAATATAAACATATTGAAATGTTTCTAGTTTAAAAATAGGTCAATCCACCTCCTTCAATTCGAACGGCCATCACGTATATATTTTTCTTCTTGTACCTCTATCTTGTTTCTCTAACTTTTATAAACAGGCATAAAAATGGGGTTTAAGTTCATTTCTAATATTAGAATATTACTTTTTCTAAACCCTTCAATGAATGTTTTTACATGATGTAGAATTTCTTTTATATTCAATTCTTTACTTAAGTATCTTTTAGAGGTTATGCAGTTGAGTGGGAGGGGGAGTAGAGTAAAAGTTTACTTTTATGATTATAAACAAAGGTTTTTACTTAAATTCTGCTGAAAAAATATTATTTATATGATTCTGTACATCAGATGTAAGAAAAACGATTTTATTACATTTTTAAGCATTTTTTAATGTTCGGATTGGGGGGGTTGTATCCGTTTTGCCTAGAATCGATTTAATATTGTTTCTGAACGTCCAAAAAATATATTCCATATGATTAGGATGAATTTCTAATAGGGTCGAAAACCGGCCTTATTGACCCTCCTCCTTTTCATAGATTTTTTTAAAATTAAATTTGATCTGTCGGTCTTTATTTACAATATTCTGCCACTGGATGTTATGTTGCTAAAACGTAAATTCGTTATTATCACTATTTTTGTGACGTTTATTTGTACTACCGTTGTCATATGTTTGTTGGTTGACTATCATAAAAAAATATTTATGCTATTAATATTCCCTTTGAGCTTTTTAATCCTTACCGAATCAAATTAAATTATCACTGCACAACAGGGATCTTAAAAATCATTAAATATACCGTTATAAGTTTAAATGGACAAGATAGTGCAAATGTTCCTAAATTTAGATTTTAGGAGCAAAAATTGATTTTTTTCTGAATCAACTGCAACTCTCAGTAACTGTTATTCGCAGTCCAATTGAAACAAATTCTTGAACCTTTTTTTAATATCGTGTAATTCGTTTGATATTACAATAATAATTATATATTTTAAATAAGGTCCCGTATGTCATCCATACGAAATAAAAAAAGAAACTACGCCGGTGAAAAGGAAACAAAAAATTACATCAGGATGGTCGATATTTCAAATAAATTTTAAAATCGGCGATTTTTATTTATTTTTATTTATAAAACTGTTACTAACCATTACATTCCGTACTACTTTGTCCCTATAATCTCTTGTAATAAATAGTTCATGAGATTCTTGAAGTAGTAACAAATTTCGTTCATTCTCTCATCAGTATAATGACTACTTAAAAGCTGAAACAAGTAGAAAAAGTTTTTCATAAAGTATATTGACCAAATTTTAAATAAATTCTATTTCCAGAATTTCATAGTTAATTCAAAAGTTAAAAAACGTTTGACAAAAAAAAATGCATAATTTTTCTTACTATTATTGCACCTTCGAAATATGTACTTGAAAAAATAAACAGACTCATCTTTTTGGAGGGGCTCACAAGTGAATAGAAATCTTCCCAGTACTTTCCTCAAATTTTGAAATCTTGACTTCAAGAGTCTGTTGATTTTCAGTAGAACGTATATAGAAAAGCTATAATTAAAATAATTCTAGATTGTTCCACTATGACATTAGAGAATGTACAGTTCGTTATGAAACACCCTGTATGCGAATGTAATAGATTTATGGTTTTCTTAATTAAAACACAAAACTAACTAAATTTGCAGGAACAATGTTATCATATCAATTGAATATCTAAACTTTTCACAAATTATTTTTGGAAATTTTATTACTCTATATCATTTTGAAACAGTATAGATAGAATTGTTATCACATTTCTGCATTCTATAGTTTCGTGATCTTTATTTCATTGCAGACAAAAATTAGTATAATTTATGTAATCTCCAAAAAATTTACTTCTTATCAACAACATAGAACTTCATTTTATCAATTTATAATCTATGAAATCTACTTATAGACTTTACATATAAAACACTTATAAAACAAGATATATAACGTTTACCCATTTATCATTTTTAGATAACCCGTGTAGCAAATATGGTGTTTATAGGAATTCCAATCCTGCTTACACTGTGCCTGTATATCCAGAAGTCGGCATGCGATGTAGATCCTAACTTAACCGTAGAGAATGCAAATGCCTTCATAGCTGAAAACAAAGATACCATCAACCAAACATACAGGTTAAAGTACCACGCAATGGCACCCATAGGATGGATCAACGACCCCAACGGGTTTATCTTCTTCCAAGACGAATATCATTTGTTTTATCAGTACAACCCATACAACGCATATCCCAATAAAATCCACTGGGGTCATATGAAGAGCAAAGACCTGATCCATTGGGAAGATCTCCCGGTAGCTCTGGCACCTGACCAGGATTACGACAGCGATGGGGTATTCTCTGGTAGTGCCATAGTGAAGGATGGGAAGTTATACGCCATGTATACAGGAAACAGCGGTGACAGACAAGTTCAATGCATCGCCGTCTCTGAAGATGGCATAAGCTTTCAGAAAATCGACCAAAATCCGGTGTTGGACGCAAATAGTTTACCTTCGAACGCGAAGCCTCAAGATTTTAGAGACCCGAAGGTATTCCAACGTGGTGACCTCTACTACGTTGTAACTGTATCTAAAACTGTGGATGAGACAGGGCAAGTGTTGCTTTACCAATCAACGGATCTAATCAACTGGGAATTCAAGTCTATACTCCTCGAAGGTACCAAGGAGCAGGGCATCATGTGGGAATGCCCAGACTTATTCGAACTGGACGGGAAGGATGTCTTACTCCTCTCTATCATTCAGATCGCCAGGTCCGGTAACGACTACAGCAACATAGATTCAGTTGTTGAATTCATAGGCGAGATGAACTGGGACGAAGGGAAGTTCGCTGTGGAATCCATTAAAGAACTTGACCACGGAATGGACCTCTATGCTACTCAAACCGCTACTGATGATAAAGGAAGAAGAATCGTAACAGCCTGGATGAATATGTGGGGTAGAACTTACCCCACAGCTGACCTCGGCGACGGCTGGGTAGGAGCCATGATATTACCGCGAGAGCTTCACATTGAAGATGGATTTTTGGTGCAGAGCCCTGTTTCTGAAATTGCCAGTTTCTACGAACAAGTGGCCGAGTATACCAATGTCACTTTAACGGATCAAACTAGTAGGTTTCATCTGGTCAGTGGTGAAGTGGGAGAAATGGAACTCCAAGCCAACTTAGAAAACACCAACACCTTCACTATTGAACTAAGAGCTAACGATGACGAAAAAACTATTCTTTCTTACGATACTGAGAGCAGTGAGTTGACTTTGGATAGGACTAACAGTGGCATCAGCATTACTGGAAATGAAAATCCTCAAGTTTTCGCTCGCAAGGTTCTGGCTCCCTTGAACGACAATCGTTTGAAGCTTCAGGTATTCCTGGACCAATCTTCTGTAGAAGTGTTTGTAAATGATGGGAGAGAATCTCTAACTGCTAATATATATCCAACCAAAGTGCCTTCAGATTCAATTCGGTTCACAGCGGAAGGAACAGCTCTAATAGAGAGATTAACATTTTCCAACATAAATTTGGACTAGCAAAATATTTTTTATTAATCTGTTGTAATTATACAAAAATCATATGTTATTGTTTAATTTGGACACTTATAGAAAGAGATGAAATAAAAATAATAATTTTTGTTTATTTTTATTATTTATTTGACCTCAAGCGCTGAAATTAATGATAAAATAATACTTCTGTTAGTCGATAAAAAATAATGAACTTACAGGTATGTCACTTCGCTTCTTATGGAATTTAGAAACACGTAGTAGCTAATTTCATTATAATTGAAAACATATTTTTTCAACTAAACTCACATATAATAATACATATAGAAAACATTTGAGGAATATTAAAATAATTATAAATTTTTACAATTTAATTTCAAACGAAAATAATTTTAAATCTAAATATTGTGCAATAAGGATATATTATTTCGTAAAATGTTAATGAATACAAAAATGTTTTCATAAAATTTATTAAATCTACGGTGTAGCAATCATTTTCTTAAAATATCATCAAATATTTTAAAGGTAAGTAGCGAAAAAAAACACAAAATATTAAATTTCTCTATAGCATTTAAAAGAGTACAGCTACGCTTTGTATTTATAACCTGCAGAAATCTGTTTAACTCTATACAGAGTGTTCCTTAATTCGACGCTCAAACTTCTACAGGCTGTTGCTAGGAAAAAATTTACACAAAAGGTTTAATCCTGACTTATGATGAAAAATAGTTGGTTGGAGGGCGATATTCAGAGCTTATATTCTCTAAGTGGCAAAGAAAATTAAACATTTTTTATTATTCTCTGTCATCTGACGTATGTAGCTATGAAAATTGGGGCTCTGGGTTCTGCACAACCCAATTATCTATAAATCAATGACGATAAACATGTGCCAAATTCCAGAAGTATCGGAATTGGCACAAACTTCATTTGAACTTTTTATTGTGACAAAAGACGTCATTCCAGAAATTTGAAAGTCAAATTAATGGACGCCCTGTATATATAATTAACTTTCTGGATCAAAATTTAAATCTCTAACAAATCAGTTCCAAAAAAATAATGTATAATAATAAATCACTTAAATGTAATAACGCTATGTATATAATATCAACCCAGTAACAAGTAGCATGGGTTTCATACTAGAAATATTTAGAAACCTTTTTAAAAATACCAGGGATGATTACAAAAGTATTGGCAACAAATTTAATAAATTAAACTAAGTACATTTCATTAGAATGGATTTTTAGAGATAGCGTTTTTCCTTAATTAACAAAAAAATAAAAAGTATATAAGGTATTGTGCAAGTTCAAGTAAAAGCAATTTTTTTCTCAAAATTTTATTAAATTATATCTCATTAATATTATTATATCTGTTACATATCTAGACCATATTGTTTGACTTTAATTGATAGGATTCTAAGAAAAAAATACATAAATTTATGAAAATTAGCTTTATAGTTTAAGAAAAGCAAATTTTTTCATTTATTTATGTTGGAATTTGCAGAAATTGTTGAATTAAAATATTAACAAATCAATATAGTAATAATATTCCATATCTCTATTTTCTATAGTCCCAATTGCTCACTATTGATATCTATTTATGGTAGTATATAACTAATAGGTTATTATTAAGTCTGAATCTTTGGTATTGATCACAAGAGTCGTAGCATATATTTTATTGATATGCCTGTACGATGTAATATAACTCAATATACTACCAAAATGTACCAAATGTTTTTGAAGAAAAATGTAATTTTACTTGCCGGACTATTTTTTATAAAATTTAAAAAGAACCCAAAATAAAACTATAAGTAATACAAATTTGTAAATATCGTTTGGATACTTGTTTCGACAGTCTCCCTCTCCCCCTATAGTTTTGTAAAAAATCAAAAAAAAAACTGGTAAATAGAGTTGTAAATATTATTCGTCTCCTTGTTTCTACAAAGTCTCCTTTTCTGTACCATACTACCAAACTAGACAAACCCGCCTAAATTATAAGAAATTACTAACTTAATTTTTCCAGAGTGGAAGTACCAACAGAGAAAAGAGTAAGAAGATGGGCCTTGTCTATGGAGGAATTGGTATCAGATCCCACTGGACTACAGGAATTCACGAACTACCTGAGGAAGGAATATAGTCACGAGAACATTCGCTTTTGGATGGCAGTGAACGATTTAAGAAGGTCGGCCCAGTCCCAAATTTCATGGAAAGTTCAAGAGATTTTTGAGTGAGTATCATAAATAAAAAAAGTAGTAGAATAGTAGAAAGTGTTTCGAAGTAACAATTTGTTATATCAGAAAATTCTGGATTGCGGTTCATAATTTTGTGAGATATTCCTAAATTATTGTAAGTGCAATTTAAATTGTTATTCTCAAATATCACGTGATTCTATTTACACACTTATATAACAAAATAACTGACCTGTGAAAATAATTTGTTTTTACATTATTTAAACCGTAAATTTTGCTGTTTACTTTATAAATTATATAAATATATAAATTCCTGCGTTTAAAGGTAACAGGGATTCACATGCAAAATATTTCACACGCTGATAACATTTTCATTCATTACAACGTAATGAATAATAATGAGAGCGCTGCAATTATTTCATTATTTATTTAACACACCTGTGAGCACGTGTCGAGTTTCTATGAATAACTGATTTGTAATTTTGTATTTAAACAAGAGTAATAGATTTTTTAGTGCAAAAATACATACAGGGTGTTTATTAAGTACTTGCACAAACTTTAAAGGGTGAATCTTTGATTAATTTTAAAGTAAAAAGTTCATATGGGCAAGGGCGTCCAAAAAAAATTTTTATTTGGTATTTTGATTATATTAAAGATAAAAATCAATCAGTAATATAATCTTTCAAAGAAATGTTATTTTGTTCTATCACCTTTGACATACCTAGGTCAAAACGTAAATAAAGCCATGATAGACAGGTCTCAGCTATTTCTACATTTTGAGGATCGCTTTTCAAATGGTCAAACACAAAACTTCTCCAAAAATTTAAATTTTAAAACGACAATGTCAAAAGGTCAGTGCTTTTTTTGTCTAATCAAAAACTGCCTTTTTACTAAATTTAATGTTTAAAAATTTTATTATGAGCTCATGTACTCAAATAAATTCACCTTTTTTTTCTAAATGTCCTATCAAAGAATGTCAAACAATTAATTGTCCTTCGACACTTTCATTCTGTCTAATTATTTTTCCAACGTATAATATTACTATTATTTAAAGGGGGAACCATTATTATTTATGCTACATTTTTCGCGTAGATTTCTGTTTTACAAACGACAGTCTAATTAAATCATTAGCCTTGATGGCATTTAATTTGCGTGTTTGATCTATCTCAATTAATCATTTTACTATTAGCCACTGTTACTGTTGAGTAATTATGTCTCTTTTAAAGATATTAAATGGAAAACGACTCTACAGTAGCTGCCACCCAACAAATGACTGTAGTTACATTTGTTATTCACCCCCATCTTTAACAGGGTAGGGTGGAAGAGGAAATGTAATTTGCATTATTCCTTTTTAGGTTCAATTTCCAGAAAGCCGGAATACATTCTTTTTTATACAACAATAAAAGGTTCTCGGTTATGCAGTGAATTAAAATGTAACACTAACTTTATTGTTTCACGCACAGTCATATTAACTTATTAACGCAATTTGCATAAAGTAATTTAGTTGCTGAATACAAATTTGATTTACAAAGTATTTAATAACTATTGAAATTATAAGATTAATTTATGATTGAATTGGACCAAAACTTCTTTTAGACAAATCTATCTACAGCTCCATTGGAAACAGCCCTTTTATCTTGCACAATAAAAAAAAACCGCCCGTACAGCAGGCACATAGAGCACTATGCCTTGCTATGGCGTATCTGCTATAGTCGCTGAGTAAATTAAAAATAGTTAAAACTGTTTCAAATAAACATGGTCATAAGAATGTTTACGACGCTGTATGCGTTTTAACAGACATAGAAGCAGATTTTGTAAATAAATAGCAATATGTAGAGGAATTTATTAAAATAAATATTGTTCTGGTTGTAAAGCATTTAGGCATACAAGAGATAACGAACCATCTTATCCGTACAACAAACTTTGATAGAAGATAGATAGCACGTAAAAAAAATTCCTAAGAAATTGCAAAAAAATGGAAAATTTAGCTCTTATTTTTTTTTGTTATCAAAATTATTTAGTTATCATTGATATAATAAAAACCGAGCAACAATTAGTCATTCTACTAACTTCGAGATGTTTTAAAAATATATATGGTATTTATTTGTCTACATCAAAGTATACAATGTGAATCTTAAATGTGAATACATATTTTTAACAGCCTTTCGGTTTACTGTATGGAAGAAGTAATTGACAGTTTTTATCTTTGTGGATGATCTTTTGATGAAAACTTTGATGAAATCACTGTGTTGTTTATTTGTAACATAAATTGTCTAAGCCATCTTATTATGAAAGAGATATCTATGTGGTGTTGCGCGAAGTTACACAGAATTCTTGAACTTTAATTTTTTATATGAAATAGAAAGCAAAAAGTAAATAAGCGTTTTTTTATGATACCTCACAAATTCTGAAGTATGTTAATAGAAATGTTTATTCTCCTCCTCCCTTCATCATCAACGAACTATTTCTGTGTACTTTAAATTGAACATTTGCTGAGGAATAGAACATTTTATGAAATGTGTATACCAAAACCAAACTTGTACAACTTTTGCCATATTTCTTTCACATTCCTTAAGATTTTACTAAACTAAACTGTCATATTTGGATACAGTACAGATCCGTGAAAATAACAAACACAAATACGTCAACTCACCAACGTTAATGCAATACCACGGAAATAAAAGCGATAGAGATATTCTATACAAAATGTAATTCAGTTAATGTGAAAAAATACAAAAGTATGTCACATTAATTTTCAGTGCAGTTCAAAAATTTATACAGGGTATCCCAGAATAACGTGTACAAAGGAAGACCACAGATTCGTGGACACAAAATAGGCAGATTTAGGTTAATTCACCTATATCCGAAATCGCTTCGTTTGGTCGCTAGATGGCTTTCAAGTTCGTGAAAATTTTTTGAATTTTGTAAATAACTCGAATATGTATTAATTGATT